ATGCCAATGTGCACTGCTGCCGCACTGCTGCCTTTTCTAATAAAAGACCCACATACAGAATATATACTTGTTATGGTGCCTCAGATATGTACAATACTTCCTTTCTAATTGATAATTGCACTGGTATGAACGATGAATCTTGAGCAATATTGGTGGGGGCTGCGGATGGGGTCGGCCATTTGGGGTATTGTGTCGTACGGACAGACGGACAGACCAAAATTTTTGCGTAAAAGGTACCCAAGAAGGACTATTGTCTTTAAAAATGAGCCTGCATATAAAAAATTGCAGGCGTCACTTCTGGGCATCGCTGATTGGTTCCAGCAGTCTTGCGCCGGTGTGAACCAACCATTACAGACCCCAGTGTGCAACAGCGGTAAGTGGCCTTTGCTTCAACTTGGTGCCCTTAACAATGGCCACGATTTTGCCAGTGTGATTTCACGGCATGTAAGCACCGCGCAGGCAGTACTCGCTTTTAAGGGGGGATGCGCCTTTTGAAAGCCTGAAAAATCGCGAGAAAGTCGATTTTTTTGAAAACCACATATTCGGGTGTATGTCTTATAAACGATCTGTTCTGTACATATCAATACTTAATTCACCGCAAAAGTCAAATAAATTATATAACATGCCGCGGCAGCCGGCAAGTGGCTAGCAAGCGCTGAAAATACCCCAACTTTGCCCGATTGCAATTTCCCAACCACGCAGCCCAGCACCACCATTTTGGTCTTGTTTTGCTCGTGAATTGTCGCTTTTTTTTTTACCCACCCGCAGCAGCAGCAGCAGTGCCATGGTCGAGGCAGGAATAGCTTATAATTGGGGAGGCGCTCTCGAAGTTTTGAAGTCTCCCGCGGCTTGGAAGCGGAGCCGCGATTGGAGGAAGCGCGTGCCTCTTGAGGGAGTGGGCGATCACGCAGCTCCTATTGGCTACTGCGTGCAATGGCGCATCTGTTCCCCTAGCTCGCCGTCTGCTCCGCCGTCGGCATTGCAAGCGCCAGTGTTCTCTGGGCATGCTTTGTGTGTCCCGTTTGCCATCATTCCGCTCGATTCTCACACTTGCTCTTCAATCTTTCACAGTCTTTACGAGACCATCTTTCGATGTGTTCACGGGACTCTGTTGTTCTGCCACTAACGATGGGCAGAGCAAAGGTTGCGACTCGGCACGCGTTCTGTTCAAGAAAGCGTCCAATGAAGCTCGTACACATGGTGAGGCTCGTTCACGCGCCAAAGCGTGGGCAACAGTCGCATCGATGCTGAGCAGCTTGTCTTTTGTTTCTACTTTTTTCGGCACCAAAAAAAGATAAAAGAAACAAAAACAAACAAACAAAAAACACTAAAAACAAAAGGGAGTGGGGGGAGGGGGGTCCTCACTCGCAAGCGCCAACATCAGCCTTGTGGTCTTATAGTGGCTGAAGAGGTGGAACACATGAGGGTGAGGTTTCTCACTAAAGTGAATCGCAAAGTATCAACAAAACTAGCAGAATCTATTTCCATCAAAACAGGTCGAGTGTGTCTTCTTAAGACACACGTGAACGGACGGGGCGGCGAAGCGGGCTGCCGCAAAAGCGCGAGTCAAAGCTATGCTCACTACTAGATTCGCAAAAGCGCAAGTCAAAGCTATGCTCACTACTAGATTCTTTTGACAGTAACGCCCAAAAGCGTCTGGCCCCTTTAGGCTGTTTTTTTTTTTTTTTTTTTCAGCCGCTGTCACCAAATATGTATACATATCTATATATATTAGCACTCAAGAAAGAAAAAAAAAACCGCCCGCGCTCGGCGCCCAGCTCGTCGCGATGTGCTGATGCGCGTTTATCTCTCATGCTTACTTTGCCCTGCGGATGGCGGGGGGAATGGGGGGATGCTTAGATGCTTGTGCGCACGCTTTTAATCTTTTGGTGGGGAAAATCATCTACCTTCGGCTTTGACTCGAACGATTAGATTAGTTGACGGGCCCACAAAGGTCACTGCAGTCTCTGCACAGGCCCCGTTTGCGAAAACCCTAGCACGCTTTGCAACACTTGTTAGTTTGTACTCATCTGTACCTGTCATTACATCTCGTGCATCGTTTTTGTTTAAACAGCGCGTTACGTGTCGAGCGGTAAACATTGTTAGTATCGTCCGTATTTTGTATATCGTTTTCGTGTGTCATCGGTGCGTGAGCAGCACGTTGCACGTTTCGATCTGCTTCTCGTTCTCAGCGTGGCATTCCAAGTTGTTGCTGTCACATTCAATGGTTCGCCCTTACAGCAAACTGTGGCTTTTTTTTTTACGTATTTACTGTCTTTAATATACTGCTGCATGCCCTCAGAGCTAGTAGATCGCTATTGCATCGCTGCGACCGCAGTTTTGTGCGTGACAGTTGCGGCAAACGGTAGTTCTTTTTCCTAGCGCCTTGCCATCAATGATCGCATCTACCGCAGTTTTGTCCCCAGAGTTTGCGGAAAGAAAGGTTTCTTCAACTGGTTGGGCACACAATTTTGGGGTTCTGTTAGTAACGTCGGCGCCATACACGATTGAATCATGAGTGACCGCAGTTTCGTGCACAGCGGTTGTGGCAACGACAATCGCGCACTGTAGAAGACAGTCTGTGCGCCAGTCGCACGCATACTTCTGAAGCTTTCAGTATGCTGCTCTCTGCCTTCATTCGTCGGTTTCCATACTAAAGTTCGTATCACCCACCAGGATTAGGAAATGTGCTAAAAACATTAGAGTTTAGGCCCAATGGACATAGTGAAATCTGGCTGGAGAATTTCAGGAATTCGTATCTGTCGCGGTTTCGCATCACTGAGATTCTACTGTACGTTTAGATGAACGCCTCCTAAATTCGTTCATAATAAAATGCAGTGGGTTCACAGAAAGCCCGTAGCAGGACTTATCTGCATATTCGTCAATGCGACCAGATCACGCACAAATATTTCCCCATTTCCGCGAGATTTTCATGACAACCTGTAAAAACAGAAAAAACAGTCGAAATCCGAGAGTCTCCCGGCCAATCTGGGAGACTTGGCAGGTATGCGATGACTCACAGATTTTGTGCTGGAGCAGCGAGCTGCGCATTTCGCTGTTAACATTCAGCTGCTACAAGCAAAGGCAAGGGAGATCACCCGAGTCAAATGCCTTCAGCTGGAGGATTTCAAAGCGAGCAAGCACAGGGAGTCTCTTTTCACGCGCCGCACTGGGTTTTCCCTACATCGGTGTACATTTTGATGTTTAAAAGGTATGTAACTTGCATTGCAAAAGGCTGTCCCCTTTAAGCTGGGCCACATCGGTCACAAGGATCAAACGCCGATCTACCTGACTATGCCCTCGGCATTAACGATGCATCAGAAATGTTCGTAGGCAGGTTATCGTGTGATCGACAGGGAACGAAAAAACGCAGGCGACTTTAATGTTGTCTTGCACTGCAGAAGGTCGCAAGCTACCACCCTACGTAGTGTTCAAACGAAAGACGCTGCCAAAGGGGGCAGATGTTTCCCAAAAATGTCATTGTCTGCTATCAGGACAACAGGTGGATGGACGATTCACTAGTTCTTGACTGGATAAAGTACGTGTGGTGTCGACGTCCCGAAGCACTGCTGGGGCTCTCTTCTGTGCTTGTGCTGGACAGGTTTCAGTGTCACCTGACCGACTTCGTAAAGCGACTGCTGCACGTCTCTTGCACCGAGCTCGTAGTCATCCTCGCCAGCAATGCTGTGCTCGTGGATAGTCGAGGCTGGGGCATGCATTTCCGAGACGCTCATTTGCCGCATGTTCACAAGGTGCTCCACCTCGAACACGCTTGATTGCACTGAGGATGCTGTGCTGTGAGAGAACATTTCCAACAAGAGAGCTTAGGAAGAGTGCTGAAGTGCGTCAATACACCCAAACTACACCCCGGACTATATGCGGGTTTGAGCTATATGTAGGCTTTTACGGTACTGCTTTTTCTTATAATTTCTGTACCTCGGGGTTGTTTACTGGCCCTTTAAGTTACAACAGACTATAAAGTAGACAGCTGGAAGAAAACCTTGTGCATACAGGCTTAGAATTTTAATAGGGACGAAGCTCCTCTTAAGTCTAATCTTCTACTATCCGTCACGCGTAACGGAAAGTAGAAGAGACAAGAAAGAAAAGAATATGAAAGAAATGGATGACCCTTTCTCGACTCAGTTCCTAGATGGCATTACTCTGCCGCTACTCTCCAAAGTGCCGCTACTCTCCGATTGGCTGCTGCGCGCACTTTGCCTGAGGGCGCGGAGAGCGAGTGCTTCTCTGTCTCCTGGATAGTCGCAGTACGTGGCGGATCGTTGGTGAGGCATGGACGAAGCAGAGTGGCGGGCGCGTTCAAAATGCTTGCGCTTCTGCCTCCTTGGCTTGTGCCTCGTCAGCATCACCCGCACGCCGTCTGCGTTATCGAACGCGATCGGATGCATGGACGCACGCACCACGGACGAACACACGGACGCTTTGCCCCACTCATCGTTATACACTTCGTGAATATGCTGTGATTTTTTTTTATCAAGCATGCAGGCACAGAGCAACATTGATCCACATCCTCTCGGAATGTGCCAGTGACAACAGTCGTTAAACTGTGACGTTCATGATGCGCCTCTAAAGGTCGACAATACCAGATTACACAAGCCTCAACTCACTCATTCCCTCCATATGATCTTGGCTCCAATATACCAAGATCACATGGCGGTCTCTTCGGAAGATCTGTGGGCACGGTGGTCGGCCGTGCTGCAAAGCTCAGAACTCACAGAGCAACTTTGAGCCGTCCAGGAGGCAGCGCAGGAGCAACAGCTCTAATCGGCCACCTAGGCAGCCCCAGGCCCAGGCCTTCCATTCACCTTATTTTAAATAAAGTTATTTCATCATCATTAACCACGGCATATGACTGTAAAGCAGTCTCTGTGAAAGACACTTTTTTTTCTAAAATACACAAGCGGATGCTTAAGAAAAATTCTCCCAAAAGTGGATATTTTTTAAACGAAACTTGAAAAAAGAGAGAGAGCCGTAAAAAGGACCTGAGGTCAAGGTAAGACAGGGCTTGGAGTGCAGACACGCAGGCTGGCACAACTCGCAGCACATTGCTGTGGCAGTCCAGACGCTCAAGCAGCACCAGGCCACACAGCTCGGTGGGAAGCTCACTCAGGCGGTTTTTGGACAAGTCTGCGCAAATGGTACAAGACAGTCACTGTCACAGACCCTTGACTGCAACTGCAACAAGAAAGTATGTCTTTTAGGAGTAACTAGTTTCATTCTCTATGCATAATTGTCATTAAAAGCCACTTTTATTTTACAGACAAAAAGCCATAGTGCACAAGTCTGTGAAACAAGGCTAGAGCCAAGCTCTGCTATTTGGGTGCATAGCTGATCATGAGATTAGAAGCTTATTGCCCAAAAATATCCAATGTTATAGCCATTACTATAAAACAGGAACAGTATAAAAAAGGAAGGAAGCAAAAACTTTATTGGCAAGCGTTTAGGACAGGGGCCGTGAGCCTAATGAGTAGAGCCCAAATCCAGGGCTCCACTGGCTGCTGCCGCCTGCCTGATGTGACCCAGGAGCACAAGCTGGAACTGAATAAATTACTCACTATACTGACAACTACAAATCACATTTCTGCCCTATATTACATATGAAGAAAAGGTGACGCATTACTGTTATTTTTACCACGAAAAAAAAGTAACGCACGTTTGAGTCAGTGCATCATTGCTGCAGCAACACGCTGTAACATTCTTATAAAGCTCTTATTTATCTTTACCATCAAGCTTGTAACAAAAAAAAACTTTATGTGAAATTTTGATTTAAAGGATATACTTTGAACAAATATATCAAACCTTGGCAACACTATAGTGGCGGATGAAGCTGTGATGGCTTGTTTCTTCGGCACTTTCTAAATATATATATATATATATATTTGAAGGTGGCATTGAACACAACAAAAACGTCGGGCCTACGCGGTAGGCGCACCACTGTCAGAGCGAAAGCTAGAAGAACGGCCTTTCAGAGCCTTTTCAAAACACTCATTGGGTAACTACTGCAAAGCACACTTGCTTGGTACCCACTAGGGCATTGATAATAAACTTTTGGGTAGTAGGCCGGCATTTGCTATGATATTTTTTTGTCATTCTTCTGAGAAGCTTGATATACGCTAAACACTTGCAAGGAATTTTGTGCCAATCATCCATGCAGTGGCTGACGACGATGAGGAATTATGGCTGAAGTGGGTATGCGCCACAGTTAATAGGGGAACGAGAACAAGCTTTTGTGATTGTTTCGATCATTGGACAGCCCACTCATTATGCTATTCGCATTGTGCGACGACTGGTTGTTCTTTCCTTGTTGTAAAAAGCTTTATAAGTCGTATTAACACGATTGCTTTCCCGACATCAAGCCTGCCTAAGGCAAGTTGGCAAGTCACAAGCACCGGTGTAGCTCAGTGGTAGAATACTGGGCTGGCACCTAACGGACCCGAGTATATAATATGTATAATTTATCATCAACACTGTCTGCAAAGAAAGCGTCACGAAACTCTCAATGATTACAGCAACTCTGGCCATGCACTTTAAGCAACAAAACAGACACTCAATCTTTTAGTCATTATTAAATGTTTTAATGTCAGTTACAGCAAATGCTTAGTTACAGCAAAAGGCCTTTCCACACATACATTTATTTTTCCCTTGACCTGTATAATTACAGAAATTACGAGCATTCACGTGACACAGCCTCAGAAATTCAGCAACTATTCTTGGTTATACTGGCAAGTTCTTTCGGCATAAAAAATGTTCGCATGTTGAAAAAACTTGCAGTATGAATAGACACCAATTAGCTCAAGCTTTATATTCTTGGCTAACACACAAGACAAGCTCTGCCTGTCATGAATGCTCCACCAAGCTGCATTCACTGTCACCTCTTGAGAGATTCCGATTGCCAACCTTTTCAGACACTGTCAGAAGCTTGGACATCCTAAGAAACTTCTTCCAAGGCATCACTGCTCAGCCAAACATATTGTTTTAAGCAGTAACATATTTCCATTAACCAAGAAAAGGTGCTTACGCCTCGCACAACATGATAATATTATCACAAAAATTTCAGGTCCTTGTCATGACTAAAGGCCCTTCAGAAGAAGACAACGAAACTATAAAACTGTTCGACAAGACGTCAATGCGCATCGTAAAGCGAGGCCCAAGGCACGTGACCCGAGCTGTGATCAGGATGCCATCGACGATGAACTGGCATTGTGTTTGTGTAAGTGACTTTGCAAGAAGAAAGCTGTCTTGCCAGCACACGCACTGGCAACAAGACCGGCAGGACTTCCACTCAAAGGATCATGACACGGGCTTCTCGAGAGGTGGCAGGAGACTTCAACTTGGTTCGAGGGAGGTTCCTAGAAACGCAACAACCGCGTACAGGCATCATTGACGTTCCTGGAGGAGGCCCCCTTTGAAGCAAGCAGATCAAGACGGTCCTCAGTGTGCCATGTCAGCTTGTAGCACCGGGGGTCACCGAACTCCGCTAAGCCTAACCTTCGAGGTCTTCGCCACATTAGCAAGGAGTTCACGCAATGCCTATAACAGGCGACCTCACCAGTAGCAGGGACAGCAACGTTCAAGAACGTTGAGAACCCCGAAAGAGACTCAACATGACTGATCGAAATATTGATGAGATACTTGTTTATTAAATGTGTTCTGTCCTCTACCAAATCCTGTCAGACTCCATCATCAGCAGCCACCCAATTTTATGACAGCCCTAAACCACAAAATGATTATGAGAGATGTCATAGTGGAGGGCTGTGGGTATTTCGACCACTCGATACTTTTTAATGCACAATGACATAGGACAGTACACGGACAGGCCTCTCCATTTTGCCTTCATCAAAATGCAACTGCCATAGCCAGGATCAAACCCATGACCTTCGGGTCAGCAGCCAAGCCCCTGCTTCCTCAAGGTGGACAGCTCAAGACAGCACAACTGTCTTCACAGGCAATTGCCACCAACTCTTGCTATCTGTCATTGCAGGTATAAGAAAGAGAGAGAGAGGAAACGCCGGGAGGTTAACCAAGCGTAGCTCGGTTAGCTACCCTACACTTGGGTGGGGGAAGGAGGGAATGATAGAAAGGAAAGATGTAGAAAAGAAGAAGCGTAAGAAAGGGAAGGATAAGGGGTCAGCTCCAAAGTACAGAGCACGGTCTCATGCTGTTCTTTAACAAGCGCTCGTAAAGTCCAGTGGTTCTTAAAAAGTACAAGAAAGCTTTCGTGGCTTTGCGCGTGCGCGTATGCAAAACCGTTGGCCAAGGTTCCAGGATCTTCTTCTCTGTAAAAGGTCATGAATCCAGCTGACAGAACTTGGCTTCCATAACATGTCATTCAAACTGGTATGCTGGGCAGTGGCATAGAATGTGCTCAAGCGTCTCCTATGTGGGGTCTCTCAATAGAACGCCATAGGCGCAAATGTTGCATGGTGAACTGCTCACCACTCCAAGAAGACAAGAATATGCATTCATAAATGCCACGCCCAAACTCATGCGACACAGCACAGCAAAGTGTCAGCGCGTCGTGGGAGCCCGGATGGCAAACAAAGTTGCAAGTCTGGTTCGATCGAACCCAGGCATGTGTGGGAGAAACCATGCGTATTCCATTGTAGGAGATTTATACGGTGAGCAAGTGATTATAGTTGCCTTGCAGCATCCTTTCTCAAGAGTGGTATGGGCGTCCGCAAGTCTTGGTCATGAGCCGATCGAGCAGTTTCATCCGCGCGGTCACTGCCGACAAAAATCTGCAATGACTCGGCAATCATTGACATGCAATATAGTGACCTTCCTCGAGCCCTTCGTGGTAGTAGTGCCATGTCTTATATACTGATTGTTTGTGTAATCCATGCCATAAAGCGAACTGCAGTGTCTGTAAGGCTGACCTTGAGTCGCAAAAGATGGCCCATCGATTAGGTTACCACTGAAGAATGTACTTGACTGTACCTTGAAGTGCTGCAAGCTCTGCTGTTGTCGATGTTGTGGTGCGAGAGAACTTGTATTGTAGCAATACATTACCACATGACCCCTGCTCCTGTGCAGCTTTTAGAATCAGTGGCGCTATCGGTGTAAACATGTATGCGTTCAAAGTATGTTTCTTCCAATAGATGCAAAGTCAATTATTGCTTCAGGACTAGCGGTGACACGCATGCCTTCTTAACGATTCCAGGAATCGATAGGCACACGTCAGGTTGATGGAGACTTCATAATGCAGATGCCGGATGCATCGCAGGTTTGAAGCCAGGCGGTAATATGTCCCGGTGTTTCGTCACAATAGCGCAGAATGAAGCATCAGGTTTTTGCACTGTCAAACACAGTAATAGAAAGAAGCAAATTTAAGTTTGAAAACAAAGTTGACAAACAGTGCTTGAACGACAGCTTTCTAATAACTACACGGGGTTCGTACAGGTTTCCAAAGAAAAAAGTCAAGGATATTCAAGTACTTTCCAGGACCTATTGAAAATTTTCCAAGGACTCAAAGTAGCATACTAAGTTGGAAATCTTCACTCTAAAATTTTCAAAAATGACCGCTTTCATTCCACTTATAATATATGAATATCGCAATTATAAAAAAAAAGCATAGTCTTAACTTCTCCCACCCTCTCCATAGGGAGGGCACGATGTCATGTCGGAAAGATACACGCTGATGGGCTTCCACGCGCATGCGTAGAAAGGCCTTAAGGGGGTCATGCCACAATATTTGTGGCTCGCGTGCTCTTTGCTGCAAGCTTTAATTACAGCTCCATTAAGTACGATACACGCACCAAGATTCATTTATTTTCGCTATTTAATTTGGCGCCTTTTTGATATGGAACAGGTTAGGTTCCTGTTTGAGGGGACAAAGTTGTGCAGGTACATAACAGCATAGCTGATTTAGTCACGTGATCACAAAGCTTTGCACGCGTCATGCTGAGTATTGTCAGCTCTCGCACACATGTACCCCACAAGCACCTGCAAAGCAAACTCGCCGCTACCTGCACCAGCCGCAATGCTTTGCTGGTATGTACGGGGCAGAAGTCTATAAGCCACTCAGCTAACTACAGATCTGGTGTGACATCACTAGAACTTTTGTTGCCTTTTCCTATAGAGTTACGTCAGTATTGGACGCACTTGCGATGGGCCTCGATTAGGAGAAT